TGCTGAACCATTGAGAAACTGCATTTTAAAATGGCAACATGCAAAAACAACTCTAAAAGCGTATGAGGTAAAAGGTAACAGAAAATATCAGTGCATCTTTATATGCTTTAGTTAAAATCCTGCTTATATCGTACGCCTCAAATTGTCTTTTGAAACCTTTAAATCAGATGGCACTTTTGTTTATGACTTAAAAATTAGACAAGGAAGGAGACATAAATATGTTTCCATCTCATACTACCTTCTTTTTATTTTACTTTAAAGCAGTGCTGCACTGTCAGAATGCAACCAGTGCAGACAACTGGCTATAGGACACTCCTTAGGAGTAGAGAGGCACACCTAAACATAGGCACGTGCTCTGAATCCTATGCAAAGCTTATTTCTCAACTGATTACAGAGGGAATCTAAAGATGCTAGCAAATCAGTCTTATCCATTACTTTCCTCCTTAGAAAGCAGGAAAACACAAGAAATACAGGAAAACAAAAATGGTTTTACTGAGGGAGGTGTCAATTCCATTTTCCTCAGATGCTCCCATATAATACGACATAGCAGATTTTATGGAAATTCAGTGTCGCCATTTTGGAAGATCTAGGAAGCACTCTTGGAAGAACTAAATTGACCTTTTTAAAACATTCATTGCTACACTAATAAAATATCAGCATTAATAAACCAAACATAGAAAGATTCCTTGAGTTATTCCTACACATTTTACACAGAGCTAATTCTGTTACTTAAATTAATTACTCTTAATGTTCATTGGCATAACTGAAAGCAGAGTCAATCCTCAACTTTTCTGAACCAGAGCTGAGCAGACGAATGCCATCTAAGACGCTAAAATCAGCTTTCTTTTTTAAATTCTTTAAAATGCTATCCTATCATAAATATCCATATTTAAGTATTTCACATACAAAAAGTTGTGCAAAAGTGGCAAAACTTCAAGTTAATTTAAAACAGTATCTAAAATCCCAGGGGAGTATACTAAACATAATTTCAATAAACACATGCTCCTAACAGTATAAATATGTGGGATGGGCTCCTCAATAACACTCTGTAACAATGACATAAGAAGTCATGCTCCCACCGACTCACCTGGGTGTTTAATTAGCCTTATATTGTGTGCTCCAGCAATCTTATGTGCATTTTACTGCTTGCTGCCAAACATATTAGTAAGGATGCAAGCATTCCTCATTAGGTACTCCTTAGTAAAGGACCAAACATGAACTCACACCTTATGTTACATCTGAACCAAAGAAATAAAAAGCAATAGATATCCAGGGCAATTTCTGTCAGAATAAAGCTATTCATAGTCCTAAAAATGCTGGAAATTCCCCACTAACTATTGTTTAGGCACAAAAGAAAATAGAGAAGGGTGAATACATTTGATAGTTCATAAATAATGATTTCAGTTATTTTCTGAAATACTGGTTTCACATGCTTTTACAGGTCAAAGAACAAGTAAAGAAAAAAACAGACAGAGCACTTGTAACATGGAAATGTCAGTAGTTAGTAAGTAACCATGCTTTCATGTGATTAAACGTATCAGAATTAATGGTGCACTGGTTTGCAGAATTGCTTATGTGTTTATTTCTAATTATGTTGCTAAACAGTCACCAGCAAAGCAACATCACTAGTTGCCTATCTGCTAGAGGGGTAACTACTAACAGCTCACATTAAACCTTCCCATCTACCACAAAGAGACCATGTTCCATTAACGCAATCTGTTAATGACATAGGGAAAACAATAGATTTATCGATAGCTTAGCTTTTCAATTGCAACTTGCATAAATATTCTGATAATTTCCTGCTCTAAGATAAACAAATGTCTCAACGTAGTTCTATACTGTGTAAAGAATACTAATTCACTCTAGCAACTATTCATCATAACTTTAAAACCAGTTTGTGCACATTTGGACAGCAGGCTCTTTCTTTGTAGCCTTTTCATTAATTTGTTTTAATCAAGATAGCCAACCACTCAAGCAGTTTCTTGGTGCTCACATTTCCCTTACCTATAATTTACTATAAATAGCAAGTGTTATAGCATGTGTACTACACATACCTAGAAAACACAGAGTGATAAAAATTAAAAAAGGTACTTCATCTAATCATCAAATATATACTGATTTTCTCCTTAATACATAAATCCTGTATTTTAACACTCTTTTAACTATGTATACAGACTCACACTGCCAATAAGATGTTACAGACAACAGACATTTCATATTAAAATGGCTGGGTTTCTAAGATCTCACCATCTTCATCATCCTTCTTTATACCTTGTAAATAGGTGAAATATGTCAATGATTTATTATTCTTGACAGAACACTATGGCTCTGACTTTAAGGTCACTAAGCTCTTACATTTTATGTAGTAGAACAAGCTGTGTACACGCTAGGAGGGTGTATACAAACTAAAGGAACAAAGTAGAAGTAATACATCTTGATTTTAATAAACTCTTTGACATTCCCCTAGAAATCATTACTTGGAAAATTAATTCAAATTTGCTTGGATGCAGTCATTGCAATGTGGATTGAAAGTTGACTGAAACAATGAAGAGAGTGAAAATTTAGCAGTATAGCAGAACAAGGAAGAAAAAAGCTGTGTATTTGTCTATTCCAGGGCCCTACACACCTTTCTGATAGCCTGTTATGTAGAAGAATAGGAAGAGGGACGGATTATTTTGTCCAGCTAGCAAGTGTAGCCCTGAGCTGTGGTCTTCCTAAACAGTGGGGTGGTGTGTTCCTATTTTCTATAAAATCAACCAAATTTTCTATAAAAATCAACCAATTCTCCTGGGAACCTTTCCCACCATGGCAGCTTCCCAAGGGCTTCTGCCTCGCAATTCACTAAACAAGTTCAAGGGTGTTGTCCTAAAGTCCAGAGTCCTAACTCTGCTCCTTACCTTCCCAGGCTTCCTGCAGATCCCTGAGCTCAATCATCTTGTGGTCACTGTAACCCAAGCAGCAATCTATGACCACATTCTCCACCAGTTGTTTCCTGTTTGTGAGCAGCCGGTGAAGAATAGTATCGCCCTGGGGAGCCTAAACTATCATTTCTCTGTGAAAATTTTCATCAACACAATCTAGTATATTCATGGAATGCTTGAACAGTACTGACTCCCCCTATAACACAATAAAGCAAGTATCTCTCCTGTTTGATCGCGATCCAGAGACTTTCAATATATATGTCTCTAGTTTCATACTGAAGATCTAGGCAGTCAAAAAGTTCAAAAGTGCAACTGCCCCATCGTCTTCCCTGCCTATTTTCCCTAAAAAGCCTGTAACCATCTATGTCAGTGCTCCAGTCACTGTAGCCATCTCCAACACCAGGTACGCAGACAGGTGTTGGAAGGATTGGAAGGACTGATGAGAACAGCATCTAAGTCCCTGCCACCTTGATTTCTGCCCGGAGAGTCCCAGAGTCATCTAGAGAATCAAAAGTGAGTAAGCTCTCTGGGACCTACAAAAAGGTCCTCTTTGGAAAAAATTCCACATACTTCTACATAAAAGTTAAATCATCTTTTTTCTTAGTAGAGTCCCTAGACGAACATTCTGTTCTTCAGTTGATTTTTCCGATACCCATATACAAAAAACTGCTAATGGGAAC